TAGGGGGGCTGAGTGAGGATCCCTGTGGGGCCAGGTCCTGTCTCTCTCACACACACAAATACAGCCCTGATGCCAGCAGCCCAGCTGGTTTGCTCCCCCCCCCGCCCCCCCCCGCAGGAACGTCTCTTGTTGTTTTTGAAATGTCCTTTTTTCAACCCGAGTTGGTTTCGGTTTCTGGACCTCCCCGGAGCCTGGGCCACCGCGGTCCCTTGCCAGCCAGCCCGGCCCATCTCTGCCTGTTAAAAATTACCTTCACGGGTCAAAGTCAACAGAAAAATCCTATTTCCGAGGCAGCCGTTCCCAGAGATCCTTAAAGCCCCTGGGGTCGAGCCAAAGGGGGGAACCTTAACATTGAACTTGGGGGCCACCGGCACTGGGTTTGTGTCACTTTTGGATCCCCTGGCTTGGCCTGTCCCTCTCTCTTTTCACTCAGCTGCCTTGTGGATGATCCAGGCCTTGTCTGCATTAACCCCTGCTCTTCCTCCAGTCCACCCTGCCCTGTGGATGCACAAGCTCTTTAGTTAGACCAGTAGAGATGTACAAGTCTCCTAATGCCGATGCGGTTTTACCACGTAAACATACAGGGAGGGTAGCCGTGCTCATATTGTACAGGATAACTGGATTAACACCCCCCCTCCCCAAAATCATGCAGCCCCAAGCAGGTGTGGTTATGTCAGGACAAAACCTTGGGGGAATGGCCCTCTCTGGAGTCCTTGATTGTTCCGTGAGCTGGGACCTGTTTTACGGGCTTGTCCAGGCACAAGTTGCCCCAGTTGGATTTAGATGCGCTTAAACTGGTTCAGCTGGTGTGTGTGGACATGCGTCTACATCCGTTTCAAACCGGTTCAGCGGGCGCCCGTCTGGTTACCACCGCGAGTTCTAAACGGATGTGTACGCCGGATGGGAACCAATCTAAGGAGGCACGTGGGTGTCCTACCCGGGTGTAAAGAAAAGGAGGTTTAAAAAAAAAAATCACACCTTTTCGTTCACCCTTTGCGGCAAGACCAGGCGGAAGAGGTCGGGGGACCGTGGGACATGGTGTTGGCCCTGCTGCCAACGTGTCCACAGTCTGTTGTCATGTTGTCTTGGCAAGAAACCTGCCTCAGAGTGTCTGAAATCACATGAATCAGAATGAAATCAACAAAACAACCAACCCACCCACCGTGCAGTTGGCGTTGGGTTTAGCAACCCAGCGCTGCTGAAAATCCGGGGCCTAAACTCTCTGCCGCTGTCTCTCCAAAGCCAGCTGGTGCAGCACTGCTCTGTGGATTTCTAAGTCTCCCGCTTCCCTGCCCTCCAAATTGGTCACTGCTGCCCCCATCACCCCTCCCCCTTCCCGTTCCTGGCTGTGATGCTTCTAATTTGTTCAGGGTCTCCGGCGGTGTCCAGAATCCGCCTGCTTCTCGGCATCCCCTCTCCTGTCGGCTCCAGTTGAGAGGTGGGGGCGTAATTCTGTGGCAGGAGTTGATGGGGGGTGACGGGGCGTGTTTCTGGGCAGGAGCTGAGGACTGGGTTTTGGGGTGGGAGGACGGTTGGGTGTAAAGGAATCGACTGGTGCCCGGACCGGTCTGTGCTGGGCTGGCTGTCGGGCCTTGGGGACAGGGGATGTGTCTGGCCGGCCCACCCCGAGGCAGTCCGTTGCCGAGGTCAGAGAGGCATCTGGAACCTGACGGTGCAGGTGCTGGCCTGCCTGGGCAGGAGCTGAGGACTGGGTTTTGGGGTGGGAGGACGGTTGGGTGTAAAGGAATCGACTGGTGCCCGGACCGGTCTGTGCTGGGCTGGCTGTCGGGCCTTGGGGACAGGGGATGTGTCTGGCCGGCCCACCCCGAGGCAGTCCGTTGCCGAGGTCAGAGAGGCATCTGGAACCTGACGGTGCAGGTGCTGGCCTGCAATCAATACCCCATCCCAGAGCCAAAGTCAGGAGAATGACGCCCGCCCACCTCCCGATGCCTCATCTAGGGAGGAGCTATTGATGCAGGCGGCTCCCTGGTGCA